TTTGACGAAAGACAAAAAAAAAGAAGAAGGATAAACATTAACACATTAAAAACAAAAATTAAACAAGTTTATAAAATTAAAACTATCAGGCGTCCCTGCAGTCGTGTAATGAACCGCAACTCATTTAATAATACGTTGACAGTATTGGTTTGGAACGTGACACTGCTTCGATCATCTCTCGGAAACTATATATTTATTCGGTAGGTTTCATTTTAGACGGTGGTTTGTCCCTGCTGTACCAAATTTGACAACATTTTTACTACTCTCAAAATTTAAACCAACGAGTACTTCATAAATTTTGAATGCTTATTAATTTTTACAAAGAGAAATCGTCATTATATTGGACTCTTAATACAGTTTTACATATACTATTCAATTTTTTTTTAATGTATAACAATAAGAATAATTCTTTTAAAAAGGTTGATCGAAACTTAAGGAAAAAGAAAACAAACTAAAAACAGCCACAATTTGTCTGAAGTATAACATCCCTGAAAGTATTAGGTTACTATAAATTCAATATCTTTTATTTATTAAAAGATTATAATCTTTTTCGTTCGCAAGCTTTAGATCATCAATGCCTACGTTAGCAGAATTTAGCTTATTCATAATAATCAGTTTGGAAATTTAGCCAGTTAAATATTTATCCGAAACTATTTCCCATTGTGTCTGCGAGTTTTTTTGGCGATTCTTTTTATTTTCGTTGAAAAAGTAGCAAAATATTATTTTAAAAAAAAGTTCACGCCAATTTACAGAGTTCAAATCATTTTGGAATAAGTGTTTGAATTTAATTTTAATTTCTTAATGAAATAAATAATCATGACAAACACAAATTAAAATTTATATTAATTGCTCATGTATTTTTTGCCAATTTCGGATTTTTTTTTATATAAACAAATAGATGTGTTCATGAAAGAATTTTTAGATGAAAAAGAATGGTGAAAAGATCGACACTTTTAATAAAAACAAAACAACATTATGCTTTCCAACCTGCTACTTATTGATAAATATTTAACAAGAAAGAAATTTAGAAATTGAACAGATCTATGAATTCTATTTCATTACCTCAGGATCAGCGTTGATAAAATAATTAAATCATTTTTTATCTCTGAACTTCACTTTTCATTCGTTTTTCCAAAAATAATTAGAGTAAAATACGATTTTATTTACGGCGCTTTGCTGCTCGTGTTTATACATGTATATGTATACATACTTATCTTTATGATGATTAAGTGTTTAAACATGATTTTCCTATTCTACAAGGTAAAAGAAAGCCTGATCGCATAATTGATAGGTATCCATATTAAAAGCGAAAACTGCAGTTAAAGATAATTTGCTCTCATTCGCTTCCAACAGGTGCGTCTCTTCTAAAGCAGAAGCGTTGTATATATATAAAAGTTAGTTATCAGCTGTTCTGAGTATTTCTCAAATATTCTAGTATGATATTTAATTTAAACTCATATTTCTTTTTATTTTAATTCCTAAAGTTATTCTAGCATTTTTCTTTTAATGCGCGATCGTAGGATTTTTAAAATTACGATAGAACAGGTTACTTATTTTAATTATTTAACGTTAATTTTCATGATGGATTTCTTAAATCAAGGTATTCCGTTTATTATATAATTATTTTGTAATTTATTTACCATTTTTAAAAGTTTCAGAAACTTGGTCCATCATCGGAGACAATTTTTTCCCGTTTTGGCAACGATATAATTTTAATAGCATATGATAAAATTTCAATAAAACATTTTAATTATTAGTATACCTTGGTTGTCTTTTCTATTTCATCTGATAAGAAACGCAACAGAAATCTCTATGCCATTTGTAATTCCTATAGATTTCGTCATAATCTAAAAATTTGATTATACTATAAATTACATTTTTACAGTAAAAAAAAATAGTTCATTTTTTTTTCATTCAAGTTACTGCATTTGTTATCTGGATTTTGTCTTAATTCAAATATTTTTAAGCTATTATAAACCGTTCTTCCTGTGTTTTTACTTCATTAAGATCTATTGTTTTTTTTATATAATATGATGTTTTATTACACTACTGTATTTTTTTTTAATATATCGTTTTATGATTGTCTGTTTTTATTTTATTTTTCTAAGTTTTTGATAACATGTGCGTAGTAACGGTTTAGATATTTAGTAAATGTTTTAGTTTATTTTATTAATATGTATTACTACTCCTATTCTTTAAATTTTTGAATGTTAAACTGTATCTAAAATTTTGTTTATTAAAGTGCATTGGAATACATCTTTCCTAACAATGGTTCCACTTAGAAGTTTCAGTATATTATTTTCAATAATGAACCATTGTGATCCAACAAAAAATTCAAAAACTTAACCCCCTCTGGATAAGTATAATTCGAAAAACGAATACAAATTTTTTTGTCCGTCCGTCGTTCGCGCAATGTCTCCGAAACTACTGGACTATTTGTTTTCTAATTTGGATTTAAAATTAGAGGGCACCCGAGTCCTCCTTCATCGACATTTCTATCCGATGAATATGATAACCGAAAAAACTGCATTGCTATAGACTTTAGCGTCTAAACGAATGCACCGATTTCTATGAAACTTTGCTAAAATCTTCTTCTCGATGCCCTTTAGATTTATCTGTATAACATACTTCAATGAAGAGAAGTTAGAAAACAAGTTACGAGGGATGGTAAAATTAAATTCCGAATAACTCAAAAAGTATACATACCCTTTAATATTGATATTTTATGATATGGTTATTTAAAAGTTCATGAAATTTAATAAAACATCGTTATAATCGGGCAATTAGGAGCAAAGATATAGTCTCTAGATATTTTTTATCCTTTGTTTTGATTTTTGATTTTTGAATGTGTTACTGAAGTAATACTAATTTTCTTAGCATATTACTAATGATTGAAAAAACAATGTTTAGTTCAATAATTGGAATCACTTTTTATTTATTTTTCTTTGTTACTAGGAAAGTTATGTTCCTTCAGATGTAAAATTATTTTAAAATAATAAAATATTTTGAATGCTTAAGTTTAGATATTTGCAGGTTTTTTTTTTTGTTTTGTAGGAAATTTAATTATCTAACATAAAATTATATTATAAAATTCACCATCAACAACAATTTTTGTTTATTACGTAGAAAATTCTATTAGAATTGTTAGTTTTTCGGGTATCAAGCAGCAGCCACACAATTGTATCGAAGACTGAAATTTTTCAAAACAGAAAAAAACAATTTAAAAGATCAAGAGATAATCATGATACAGACTTACTCCATACGGATCTTTCCTCCATTTACAGCAGAGGACATGGTAACCGAGCATATTTTTTCGTGGATTCCAGAATGTCCGGTTCAGAACGTTGTGGATTCGATTCCTACCTGGGTCGGTTAATATTTACTTCCCGGAGGGCCTTGGAAACAAGTCTTGACCCACTCTGGTAAATAAGGGATGGAAACCTCTGGTTAGTCGTCAGGAGTTGACAAAAAACAACCACTAGTCCCTCTTGTTAGACTGGTTCCCCCCCTCCCCCCTACCAGCAGCAGTTTCAGTACCAGTACCTTTATAGCAACACATGGCTGTTTTTTATTTTTCACAACTCTGAATACCAGTGCAATGATATAGGTACGTATTTTCCCCTTATAACGAATTTAGGTGGAGTAATGTTAACTTATTAGTATAAGGATTATAATCAAATATTAAAACATATTCTGGTTACAAAATAGAAAAAAAAAAATGAAAATCAATGATGCCTCCCAATAGCGATGCTTGCGATATAATGGATTATCCACTGGCCCACGGTTTTTCAATAGTTCTCTTCTCTGTGATTGATAGAAATTTTAGGCAGACCATAAAACAGCCAGCTAGTGTCAGTATAGTCAATTTATCACAACTTCGTATACTGATTTTAATGCATAAGTATCATTAATAAGTAAAATTTAAGTGTTTATAAATTTATGTAACTAACGTTAATTACTGGAATAATAATGCTTTTATTTTTTTGACGTATGCTTACATTTAGTAGATAGAATACATGCGTTATATTTAAAAACAATAATTCTATTTTTGTTCGTATATAAACATTATGAATGTACACATATAGCCCTGGAAACAGGCCCCAAAAATCGACTTCATCGCAGGTTTGATTGTAAATTACGAAAGTGTGTGTAATACTGAGTAAAAAGAACTTTGTCTGCCGTTTCAGAGCCGCTGCTTTCGAAAATGGCGTCTGATTTTAAGAATATTAGGCCAGTAATTCGAGGATCGAAACGGAAAATACATTATGAAAAATGTGAGAATAGTTTTTATTTGTTTAACTTCTATACATGTGTAAAAACATAATTGCTAAAGCGGGCCACCAGAGGAAAACGTTTTAAAGCCAAAAAAGTTTATAACTGCTAAACGATAAATCAAAACAAAATATCTACTAATAAATTAAAGAACGCTAAATTATGCTTCGAACGAGTATATAACTTTTTGATTTGATTACGTGGTAAGAAATAAAACCACGGTCGACCAACGCTGATTTTTATCAAATTTGTCAAAAACTGAGATGAATTGCTATAAATGGCTGTGTCACTTGGAAATGAGTTTCTTAAGAGGAAAAACTCATAGGAGCAAAGTTGTAGACTATCCAATTTTACGTCCCGTTAGTACCAATTAATTTAATGTAGGTCACTTACTCCGAACAAAACCTGTAATTTCCAGATCGTTAAAAATTGGTAATGACGGTAAACGTGATTTTCAATAATTGAACAGAATATTTAAAATTAGAGGTCACCAGATGATCCGCCTCTTCCTTCAAGATGGCGACTGAAAACCTTTCGTTGCTTTATCCTGTAGCGCCTAAACGCATGTACCTAATAATTTCGTGAGTGAGTATTTATGGACGGGAAAGCGCGAACGCAGTCCAGACTAACAAGAATTACGCGCCCGAGATACCCACATTTGGGGTATTCGCAGGGGTCAGCCCGACCGAAGTGCAATGGAAGAGCCTCACCCTGGGGGAACCGCCTTCATGATCACGGTAACCCCCGCGCCAGGTAAGTATGCTCAATTCCGGGATCATGGACTACTTGTCAATTCAGCGCCGACAGGCACTATGGGAACCGATCAACAGTTGTGAAGATTATTCATAGCGGAGTCTATGATGATATACCTCAACTCGTCCATGCTCCTCATCCCCCCGGCCTACATTTTTTCAATAGCTCGCATCGCCCCCCTGAACAATTCCAACTTTCTAATTAAGACGATTATCGTAGGCGAAGAAGTCAGGCTGTAGTCCGGTTTTCACCCTCCCTTGATAGGTGCCGCTAGCGTTCCCGGTGAGCTCTTCCCGGGCAACATGATACCCTTTAACAATACCCACTTCCACCTCCATCAGTGTAATATTGAGCTTTCTTAAACAGTTGGATATTATTGTAAATGTTTCCGATCGATGAGAGTTTTCGTATCAAATCTCATCCCAGAAAAGTAAGATAAAAAATCGTTCAAAAATGTAGGCTTCGATGGAGAATAGATTATCTGTCATGAAGGGAATAGCGAGCGATGTCAACAATTTCAACGTTTCCGCGGTTCCATTTTTCATTCATTTTTACCATAGTCGAAGATTATATTTTAGCGATGGTTTGAGATGGAAAAGGAAAAAAAAGTGTTTTTTGTCCCTCTACTAAATATATGGGTGAATAAAATTTATATAAAAGAGAAAAGTCAATCCACACCTCGAGGTTTGAAGATTTTCCTTTTTAAAGTTATTAAAGCTCAACTAAGTTACTTTTTATATAATCACAAAGGTGTTATGCTAATTTTGTGCATTACTGATTTTTTGTTGACTAAGCTGAAAATATATTTGAATTTTTTTATATCCTTTTTCGAGGAATTATTTTTTTATAAATGTAGAGGCTGATTTAAAGGATATTAGGCCACTATTTTGAGTTTGAGGATGGAAACGGAAAATCCATTGCGAAAAATGTAAGAAAAGTTTTTATTTTTTTAACCTGTATATTAGAGTTTAGGAATGTAAAGAGCAAAACAGCTAACGCGGGCCACCTAGGGAGAACTCCTTACAGGCAAAAAAGTCAGATTTTTTGGATATATTTGTGTTTTTTCACCTATTGCTCCTAAAAGATGCATCAAAGCGAATAAAGGAACGCATCAATAAATTGAAGAACGTTAAATTGTGCGTCGAACGAGTACACAAATCTCGTAATTAGGCTAGGTGGTAAGCTATAAAACCAGGATCAACCTACACTGATTTTTACCAAATATTTCAAAAACTGAGACAAATCACTATAAAAAATGCCCTCCAACTTCGAAATGAGTTCCTTAAGAGGAAAACCTTATAGAATCCAAGCATTAGAGCATCAAATTTTGTGTCCAGTTAGTAACAACTAATTTTATGTAGGTCACTTACTCTGAACAAAGTCGGTTATCTCCCGATGGTTAGAGATCGGTAGTGAAGAAGGTAAACGTGATTTCCAATATTTGAACAGCACGGGTGTCTATTCTACTGAATTATTTTTGTTTAGAGTCTGTCACATGCAGTATAAAAAAAAAACTCTTTTTCCACTTCTCAGCAGCGAAGGATTGTGATAAACGGTGTGTCGAAAGATACCGAATTTCATAAAGGAAAAACTCGGCGCAAGGACTTAAATTTTATGGGTTTTTCCTCTTAGGTAACTCATTTATAGTAATTTGTCTCGGTTTGGGACAAAGTTGGTAAAGACAAGCGTTAGCTGTTCGCGGTTTAATAGAAAAAAAAAAAAAAAAAAAAAAAAAAAAAAAAAAAAAAAAAAAAAATCAAAAGCTTAACTGAGGTTTCAGGATACGTAGAAGTCGTAAAAGGGATAAAAAAAAATAATAAAATTCCGTCGTCCGGGAATTTTCTCCGAAACTAGTTTTTTTTTTTTTTCGAATTCGGACTTAAAGATTAGAGGTCCCCCGAGGACGATCCTCCTCCTTCATCTACGTTTCTATCCGCCCTTTTCCTTTCAAGGTTGCGACCGAAAAACCTTCGTCGCTATTGGCTGTAGCGCCTAAACGAATGTACCGATTTCAATGAAACTTCCCCAAAGTCTTCTTTCCGATTCCCTTCAAATTTATCTGTATGACATGCTTCAACGAAAAGAAGCTAGAAAAAAAGTTACGAGGGATGGTAAAATTAGATTCCGAATAACTCAAAAAGTATACAGTTTTTGCGAGACAAGGTTGTTGAACTCTGATTACGGATTTTATGTACTGTAAGTTAAATTAAAAATAAATACAGATAGAATGCGGAAATCGATCAAGTCGGAGAATTAATTTCGTTTCCTAATGTGGGATTCGGCAAAAGAATTACAAATCCGCGGGGGTCATTTCATTCTAAATTGATGACTTATGAAAAATTTAAAAGAAAAGTTTGACTATAGAGTAAGTCCTAGAAAACTGCTTGTTATCCTATGAAGAAGTAAGCGCTGATAAGGGAGAGAACTCGATTCGCTCGCGACGCCTCTCGAGTTGGGCGACGAAACGCGGCGGACACGAGCTGGGCGGAGAGACACGGCGGACACCATTACCAGCGCCTCCATCCATCTCATGGCTGGGATCAATTTCGTGAGTAAGTATTTATGGGCGGGAAAGCGCGAACGCAGTCCCGACTAACAAAAATTACGCGCCCGAGATACCCACATTTGGGGTATTCGCAGGGGTCAGCCCGACCGAAGTGCAATGGAAGAGCCTCACCCTGGGGGAACCGCCTTCATGATCACGGTAACCCCCACGCCAGGTAAGTATGCTCAATTCCGGGATCATGGACTACTTGTCAATTCAGCGCCGACAGGCACTATGGGAACCGATCAACACTTGTGAAGATTATTCATAGCGGAGTCTATGATGATATACTTCAATTCATCCATGCTTCTCATCTCCCCGGCCTACATTTTTTCAAAAGCTCGCATATTCCCCCTGAACAATTCCAACTTTCTAATTAAGACGATTATCGTCGGCGAAGAAATCAGGCTGTTTTTACCCTCCCTTGATAGGTGCCGCTAGTGTTCCCGGTGAGCTCTTCCCGGGCAACTTGATACCCTTTAACAATACCCACTTCCACACCTCCATCAGTGTAATATTGAGCTTTCTAGAAAAACAGTTGGATATTATTATAAATGTTTCCCATCGATGAGAGTTTTCATATCAAATCTCATCCAAGAAAAGTAAAATAAAAAATCATTCAAAAATGTAGGCTTCGACGGAGAATAGATTATCTATCATGAAGGCAATAGCGAGCGAAATTGTTGACAAACTATTTTCAACGTTTCCGTGGTTCTATTTTTGTTTTAGTTTTTACCATAGTAGAAGATTACATTTTAGCGAGGGTCTGAGACCGAAAAGGAAAAAAGATTAGTCCCTCTACTAAATATATGGGTGAATAAAATGTATATAAAAGAGAAAAGTCAATTCTCACCTCGAGGCTTGAAGATTTTTCTTTTCAAAGTTAATAAAGCTCAACTAAGTTATTTTTTTATAATCTCAAAGGTGCGGCGATTAATATATGTTATGCTAATTTTATGTATTATTGATTTTCTGTTGATTAAGCTGAAAATATATTTGAGTTTTTTAAAATCCCTTTTCGAGGAATTATTTATTATAAACGTAGATTCTGATTTAAAGGATATTAGGCCACTATTTTGAGTTTGAGGATGGAAACGGAAAATTCATTGAGAAAAATGTAAGAAAAGTTTTTATTTTTTTAACTTGTATATTAGAGTTTAGAAATGTAAAGAACAAAACAGCTAACGCGGGCCATCTAGTGAAAACTTTTAACAGGGAAGAAACTCCTAAAATATGCATCAAAGCGAAAAAAAGGCAAGCAGTAATAAATTAAATAACGTTAAATTGTGCGTCGAACGAGTACATAAACTTTATAATTAGGCCAGGTGGTAAGGTATGAAACCACGGTTAACCGACGCTGATTTTTACAAAATTACTGAGACAAATTTCTGTAAATAGCCCTGCAACTTTAAAATGAGTTCCATAAGAGGAAAACCTTATATAATCAAAGTTTTAGAGCTTCAGATTTTGTGTCTAGTTAGTAACAACTAATTGTATGTAGGTCACTTACTCCGAACAAAGTCGGTTATCTCCCGATGGTTAGAAATCGGTAGTGAAGAAGGTAAACGTGATTTTGAATATTTGTCTGTTACTTGTATTATAAGCCTCTTTTTCACTTCTCAGCAGCCAAGGATCTTGATAAACGATATGTCTAAAGATACAGAATTTTATAAAGGAATAACGAATCCCGATTCGAGATATATAATTGGCCAACAATAAAATGATAGTACTTGATGCTCTACATCTGTGATTCTATGGAATTTTCTTCTTAGGGAACTCATTTCCAGGCTACAGGGCCATTTATAGTAATTTGTCTTAGTGTTAGACAAATTTGATAAAGATCATTTGGTTGACCGTAGTTTTATACCTTACCACGTTACCAAATTATTAAGTTTATGTACTTGTTCGGCGTACAATTCAACGTTCTTTAATGTATTAAATAAGACATTTTTCCCTTTGAAGCGTCGTTTAGTAGTTATTGATGAAAAACCAAAAAAATCTGATTTTTTTGGCTGTAAAAAAGTTTGTCCCTTAGTGGTTCGCGTTAGAAATTTTGTTTTTTACATTCTAAACTCATATATACAAGATACAAAAATGAAAACTTTTCTCACATTTTTTGCAATGGATTTTCCGTTTCGATCCTCGAATTACTGACCTAATATTCCTAAAATTAGCCGCCATTTTTGAAAAAATGGCGCTGGAATGACAGACAAGGTTCTTTTTACTCAGAATAAAATATACTTTTATATAACGCCTGCGATGAGGTCGATTTTTGGGTCCTGGCTCTAGGGCTAATAAGAGCTATAATACTCAATGCTCTTAATTGTGGCAGATTGTATTAATATTCTTCCAATAAAAATCTGTTTACTGATTTTTTTTTAATAGTTCTTTATTGATATATATATATTACAATCTGTCACATCTAAGGAAAATAGTAATAGTGATAAAATAATAGCTCATTCGCACTTTGTAAATAAAAATAAATAAACAGAAAAATAATAATACTAAAATTATGGGTATATAAAATAAAAGAAACGGAACTAAACAAAAAGAAACTAAGCTAATCAAAATAACTACTTAAATACACACATGCTTTTATATAATATTTTCTAAATTCATTCACTCAACCTTTCTCCTCACTCGTGGAAGGAAAGGCAGAACTCTAAGATATCCCAATGTCTCACTCAGCCCCATTACAGGTATTTAAATTCATAACTGAAAAAGAATAATATATATGCCACACATTGCTCGCAGAATCAAATACTGTCCAATGAAAAAAAAAAGTCCTTTGAATCATTGTTAGCTGTTAATTTTATTAAAATCGTGTAACATAATTTTGTATGCAGCTATCTTCACTATCGTTGAATGAATACATGCAGTTAATAATTACGAAAGAACATTATTGCATAAAAACGTTATACACGAGGCACCGAATAATTTTTTCATTGCTAAATGAAGCTGAAGGTAATAAATTAACTTTTATATGAAGTTTTCCCTTTGGGGCTGAATGTCATGAGATAATTATCTGAGATCATGAGAAAGCCATTGGCCATATTCAGTCTTCACGACTCCTGGAGGAGCCTTCTTCAGGATGTGCATCACGCTTCTTCACTGCTCAAGATGGCATTGAAACCGCTCTCTATGTCTTACTTACAATATATTTTTAAAGGAATGATTCAGTCAGATCATTCAGGGGTGAAGTGTTTGAAAACATTCTCGAAAAGCATTTACGGTTCGCTGGTTTCAACCTTTTATTTTCAGAGTTCTCATGCTGTTAAATGGATTATTAATAAAATACTTCACTTATTTCCTCTAGAATTTTTTTCTTCTGATTAAGTCTATTTAAATGTTTAATACTAAGATTACATGACGTCATTTCGTTATAGTAATAATACTGGTTTAGTGATAAACTACATTTGCAGGACGGAGACAGAATAACATTGCACAGCTGATGAGCTGAAGGTTTAAAATGTTCACTATAACATCTTATAGTGAACATTTAAACCTTTTTCTTAATAATGATCAGATCCCCCAGTATTTGTTGATACCGACTAATTTCAAATATACGAAACTATTAATGCAGTTCCGACTCTCGGGAAATTATATGATCAAGATTTCTGTTAATAATAAAATTGTGAAAATTACTCCAAAACTTGATTGTAAAATGTGCAACACTAAAGAAAAGAAAACACTTCATCATATATTATTTAAATACCCAATCTATAGTAGTTTAAGGTTAAGAATTTACCAGGGTATGGAAAATCTTGATGGGATAGAAATATTTAAGCCAACCAGAGCAGATGATATGAGAAAATTATATTTTTTTATCTCAATTATTATATCAAATTATAGAGAATTAGTAGGGTAATCTTGAATATTATCCTCCGGATATTATGGCAAAAAGTCCATATTGTACATTGGCATGAAATCTGACCGGGTATTTTTCTTGTTTGTTCTCTTAGGTATAGGAGTAATCTTTTAATTTAATTTTTAAACGTAGTTTAGTATTAATATTTTTAAAAAAATGCGTATTTATTGTGTTATGTGTATTTATTTATGAAAATTTTAGATTTTATATCAATTTGATAATTGAAACTATTTTAACTGTCTGAATTTTACCGAATATGATTTTTAGTTTATGCTTAAGAGTGTAGTAATGTCTGTTATGTAGTATAAAAAGGAATTTGTATTTCCATAAGCATGATAATGTTTTTTATTTTGTGATAGACTCCTTTTGTATAGGGTTCTTCCTACAAAACAAATAAAGATTGAAATTAATTGATAGATTGAACATTAGTGATAGTAATAACTTTCAAGAAGATCACAAACTCATCGCCAAAGAAAATTATCTTGGGGTTCTCATAGATTGGCGTGGTACAAATATGCTTTTTTAAAATCACTGTTATGTTTTATTAACTATATATCAATCAAATTTCATCATCATCATCCGTGGCACTACAAGTCCTGTAGAGCCAAGGTCTCTTGTAGCTTGGTCCGCCATTCTTTTCTTTTGATTTATACAATTCTCCAGATGCAGATTCCCAAGACGGATTTCGTATCTGCTGCCACTCCATCGATCCATTTTAGCCGAGGTTTCTACTCTTTTGTTGTCCTATAAATCCATTCGTCTAGGACCATCCAAGGAATTTGGTCTGTGATCATTCTAATTATATGACCGTCGAAGGCGTCCTTCCTTTAACCTTACTAATTCTGGGCTATTGTTGGTTATTGAGAGTCTTGTTAGTTTAGCATTTATGCTTATCTTCCTGATTGCCCTGGCACAAACTGGGAGGTAAATTTTCCTCAATTATCAATCAAATTTACTTGTAAGAATTTTAATTTTATATTTTTAAACTTTATTTCTCCACCTATCAAATTCCGAATGCCTGGTTATTCAAAACACCATAGATCTCCTATTGACACTTTAACATACAGACTAAGAGGAAGTTTTGACTATGATGTTTTTATAGACATTTAGAAAGCCATTTTCAATGAAGACATTTAATTTAGAAATAAAATTATAACAGATATAGAATTCTTAAAATTATACAGGAATAAAAATAGATGAACCTTGAAAGAAGAGAACAATTCCTCATTGCATACGATACCCAGCATTACGGCCACGCGAAGACTTGAGCAATCCCTCACCGAAATGAATAAAGATGCTGTCAAGGTCATGATATCATCGCCTGTGCAAAGACAAAGAAAGCTGTATCAACGAATGCCAACAGCGGAGGATCACTAAGCAGAAAACTGAA